GAGAACTTGAGGCAGAGAGACATCTTCAATCTCCTGGTTCTCTTTCCAAATGAATGTAACAGCTGGGCTGTTAGGAGCCAGGAATTTAACCCAGGTCCTGACAGGAGTGGCAAGAACTCGAGCACTTGAACCATAATCTGCTGCCTCCCAGGGTGCACATTATCAGGAAGCTGGAATTGGAAGTGGAGATAGGACCTGAATCTAGACACTCCAATATAAGATGTGTGTCCCCTTTTTTTTTTTTTTTTTAAGATTTGAAAGAGTTACAGAGAGGCAGGCAGAGGCAGAGAGAGAGAGAGAAGTCTTCCATCTACTGGTTTATTCTCCAAATGGCTGCTATGGCTGGAGCTGGGCTGATGCAAAGCCAGGAGCCTGGAACTTCTTCCAGGTTTCCCAAGCAGATGCAGGGGCCCAATAACTTGGGCCATCTTTCACTGTTTTCCCAGGCCGTAGCAAAGAGCTGGATCAGCAGAGGAGCAGCCAGGACTCAAACAGGCACCCACATGGGATGCTGGCTTTACAGGCAGTGGCTTAACTCACTATGCCACAGTGCTGGCTGTAGATACAGCACCGGCCATAAAATGTAGAATATAGAATATATTTTATCTATTTTAAAGGCAGAGTGGCAGTGAAAGACAGAAAGAGATCTTCCATCTGCTGGTTCACTCCCCAAATGCCCACAAGAGCCAAGGCTAGGCCAGGCCAAAGCTAGGAGCGAAGAGCTCCATGTGGGTATCCACATGGTGGCAGGAACCCAGCACTTAGGCAGTAATCTGCTGCCTACCAGGTGCATTAGCAGGAAGATGGGGTGGAAACAGCAGTGGGACTCAATCCCAGGCACTCTGATACGGGATGTGGGTGTCCCAAGTGGTGGCTTAACCCAGTGTGCCACAACACCCACCCTGATATGGGCATTTTAACAGTTGTACCTGCAAGGTGTCCGGCATGTAACAAATCTTCCCAGGCAGATGAATCAATTAATTCACAAGCTTTTCCGCTCCCGGGCGAGGTTCCCTGGTCCCAACAGAGGGTGGGGTGAGGTGGGGGGTCGAGTGTCAGAGGTTGGGAGGGCTCCTTTTATAGATACAGGGCGTGAAGATTCAAGGTTGAGGCAGGTCTGACCCTCATTGGTTGACCTTTAGGCACCTGTGGGGACCTTGACAAGGACTTATCTTCCCCAGAAGTGCGGGTAGGACTCTCCATTCCCGGAAGTATAGGCCTTCTCTCCTTGCAGATCCTAAAGCTACCAGTACCAAATATCTGTCCTTATTCTATATTATTTGAATTCTTATGAGAATTTGTTCTTATATTATTCACTGAAAAAATGTTAATGTAGGTTAGCAGCAGGTTTAGGAGATTTGAAATGGCAGGCCAGGTGTTGGCATGGTGATGCAGCCAGTTAATCTGCCGCCTGTGGTGCTGGCATCCCATAATAACACTGGTTTAAGCCATGGCTGCTCCACTTTTGACCCAGCTCCCTGTTAATGCACCTGGGAAGGCAACAGAAGATGGCCCAAGTGCTTGGGCCCCTGCACCTACATGGGAGACCTGGAAGAAGCTCCTGGCTCCTGGCTTCAGTCTGGCCCAGTCTTGGCTGTTGCAGCCTTCTGAAAAGTGAATCGGTGGAACTCTCTCTCTCTCTCTCTCTCCCTCTCTCTGTAATTTTGCTTCTCAGATAAATAAATAAATCTCTCTCTCTTTTTTTTTTTTTTTTTTTTTTTTTTTTTTTTTTTTTTTTTTTTTGACAGGCAGAGTTAGACAGTGAGAGAAAGAGAGAGACAGAGAGAAAGGTCTTCCTTTTTCCATTGGTTCACCCCCGCCAAATGGCCGCCACGGCCTGCGTACTGCAGCTGGCGCGCCATGCCGATCCAAAGCCAGGAGCCAGGTGCTTATCCTGGTCTCCCATGCGGGTGCAGGGACCCAAGCACTTGGGCCATCCTCCACTGCCTTCCTGGGCCACAGCAGAGAGCTGAACTGCAAGATGAGCAACTGGGATAGAATCCAGTGCCCCGACTGGGACTAGAACCCGGGGGTGCTGGCGCCACAGGCAGAGGATTAGCCTAGTGAGCCGCAGCGCTGGCAAATAAATAAATCTTAAAATAAATAAATAAATAAATAGGGCCGACGCCGAGGCTCACTAGGCTAATCCTCCGCCTTGCGGCGCTGGCACACCGGGTTCTAGTCCCGGTCGGGGCGCCAGATTCTGTCCCGGTTGCCCCTCTTCCAGGCCAGTTCTCTGCTGTGGCCTGGGAGTGCAGTGGAGGATGGCCCAGGTGCTTGGGCCCTGCACCCCATGGGAGACCAGGAGAAGCACCTGGCTCCTGCCATCAGATCAGCGCGGTGCGCCAGCCGCGGCGGCCATTGGAGGGTGAAGCAACGGCAAAGGAAGACCTTTCTCTCTGTCTCTCTCTTTCTCTGTCTACTCTGCCTGTCAAAAAATAAATAAATAAATAAACAAAAATAAATAAATAAATAAAAGACATGACAAGGGACCTTCTCAGGAGCACTGAGCTCCATCACGGGTCTGCATGGGTACTTGAGAGTGCGAGAGGAAAGGGGCATGGTTCTGGCTGCCTGATGAACCCCAGGTCTTTCCTACTCACTTTCCCCCACATCCTCCTTACCCATAAGCTCCCTAGCTCATCCTTGCAGAACAAGTGAGGCTTGAGGCCTCCCAGAGCCCTGGCCTAATTTCCTCAGTGCTTTTTTAGGGCATCACACATCTCCTTCCGGGAGAGTCTCCTTGAGAAGGGTGGCCTAGCAGTCAGGCAGATCCCAGCCATGGGCCCTGGAGCCCGGTGTGTCTTCTCTGCTATCTGGCTTGGTAATGCTGGGCAGGACACTTTCCTCCTCTAGGCCCAGCTTTCCTCTTGTGGTAGGGAAGGCAACCGGGTTAGGGATTTAGAGCTCTCTTCCTGCCCCAAGGTCTTTGATCTCTCCTAGAAGCTGTTGCTCTGGCCCTAGGTTTCACTTAATTTTTTTCCCATTCTGGATGTTTTGTCATCCATGAGGATTATCAGTAGTTTGTAATTTGGGGCTAGAAATTTATCCATTTTCCACTGGACCCTGTTTTTCCTTCCTCTATCCTGTAAAATAAACACCCTTCCTTTGACATTCCCTCTTGAAACTTTGACCTCTAATGTGGACCCTAATGGTTAGCCTTTTTCTTTGGGCTCCCCCTGGAGAACCAGAATTCTGGCCTCCCAAGTCAGCAGGAGTCAGGCTACCAGCTTTATCATTCTAAGGAAGTCTTTTGCAAATCAAAAGTTAGGTTCTTTATGGGGGAGCAGAGCTGAGAACTATGACTGTTACTGGCAGAAGTGTGAGGAAGAGGACACCTTCCACTGCATATGAATGGCCGTCATTGCAGGGAAACTCTGGGAGGTTAAGAATGCTGCCTGGCGTCCCGGGGCCCCCAGAATGGAAGTGGGGTGTAAAAGAAAGAGTGCACATTTGTGGGGTGGCAGACCTGAATTCAAACCCACCTCCAAGGGTGTCATTTTAGGTATGGGTGCTTAAACTCCAAGATCCACGGTTTCCTCCATCGTAAGAGGGGAACCAATCGCAAATCTAACTGGATTGTTCTCGGGTTGGGAAGAGATAAAACCTCCTAAGCACCTGAGGCTCACTTGGCAGCACCCGATTTTCCCTTTGCCTGCTAATTCCTCTCCTCTTATGAGCACCCACCAGCAAGTCACGAGTTGATTGGCAGACTCTGGGAGTAGGCCTCGTGGTTTTAGCCACCCCGAGATGGGAAGAAGGAAGAAGAGAAAAAGCTGGGTGGGGCCTGAAAACAGAAGCGGTTTTTATTTATTTTTTCTTTCTTTCTAGTAGCAACCTGGAAAACGCAGGTGTCTGTCCTCCAGGTGAAGGGGCTCAGGCCTGAGCTGCTAACTGGGAAGGGGCTCATGCGCAGGTTTCGGCTTTGATTTGATCCCCTTTTCCACAGATTGTCAAGATCCACCATCAGATTGGGGCCAATCTGCCTTTCTTGGCTCCTGAACCCATCCATATAAAACATGGGGGTTTTACTGTTCTGTCACTCATTATGGCCAGCTTGTTAAGGATGAACCAAAAGGGAAGGGGCATGGGGTTGTAACTCATGAATCTGAATGATGCTGTATTGCTTGGAATGAAGTCCTGACAGGAAGGTGATGGATGTGGAGAAATCTGAATTTCTTTAGTTTCTGACCCAGCGTCCATGTGGAAAGACTGGCCTGACTGATTGCCCTGAAGGTAAGATGGATGAGGGTGAGAGAGGCTTGGAAGACAAGAGTCGAGATTATCTGAGAATTGTGAGAATTAGGGAAACTTTTCCTGGAGCCCCATTGCTTTGGCCTTTGTTAGTGAAAGCCTCTGTTACAGCCACAGCACGAAGCTTGGGAGCCTGGAGCAGCGGGGCTGGGTTTCCTCCGAATCACCGTCCACCTCCAGGATGACTTGGGTCTGCAAGTCCTGGGAACATGCCAAAGCGGCAGATGCCTGGGTCTTTGCATCATGGGAATTAAGCCATGAATGAAGGAAGGTTTAAACCTCGTGTACATGCCTAGCAGTGTCACAGCTCTGGGTTCACAATGAGTATTTTGGAATCCAAAGGTTTTCAGGATTTAACCTCAGGGTCAGATGGCTTTAGGAGCCCCAGGGAAATCATCGTTCCTTTTGGTTGTTACTGGCATCAAATAGGCTCTCTTCGTTCCACCGTCTGCCACCACACACACGCACACTAGTCCTTGCTGTTGCTGTTTTTAACCTTCCTGAATGAAGGGCTGAGATGGAATTTTCCACGTCCTTGACATAGGCTGCACTTTTAGGGATTTCTCGTTGTCTCTGGCCTCTGACCTGTTAGTTGCGAAGCACTAGAAGTCATGGAGACCAGAGCGGATATTCAGGGCACCTGCTCTGCTTTCTGCTGAGATGCCAACTTCCCTAGTGAACCTTCTTTTTCACTTAAAAGAAAAAGGATAGGTTATTCCCTTTTGCATTAAAAAAAAAAAACCACATTCTTTCTGATGGCAAAGAATGTTTATTATAGACAAATTAAAAAAGGGAAAACAAACTATTTTATTATTGGGCATTTTCTTATTTAAGAACAAAAATAATTCATCCTGAGCATGCTATTTTGTAATCAGCTGTGTTCACTTAATGATATCATGAGCATTTTCCATGTTACAAAGTATTTATCAAGAATATTATTTTAGTAGTTAATACTCCTCCGGAAGCCATGGTCTAATTTATCCTATGGTTGAACAGTAAAATTGTTTTCTACCTTAGAACAATAGGATGGGGTGCTACCGCACTCAAGGTGATCCCTGGCTTGTTTATTCAGCCTCCCTGCAGGGCGCAAGCCCTTGCAGACGGCAAAGTCTCCAGGCTGAAATATTCAGACTTAGGAAACCAGGGGCTGAGCCCTCGAGGCTCTCTTCTTGTGGCAACTACCCTTCCTTGAAAGATTACCAATGGAAGATATAGAAGTGTAAATGAGGACAGTGGAATCCACAACTCTTCAGGTCTCCGGTCCTAGGGCCCTGGTCTGGGTGTACAGACACCCCGGGAAGCCCAAGTTCAGAGAGCAAACACACTTTGAATGTTACCCAAGTTCAAAGGGCTTCCTTATTCCCCAAGTTGCTTGGATTGCATTACAATAGCACCTTCTAAATCTGGGGAGTCTGTATTGTTTTCCTGTGGGTCAGTGCTTGGGTCTCGGCTTCACAATCTGTCAAACATTGAATTCAAGGGGGTTGGCTATGTCTAGTTTGCCCCTTAGCTTGATGGATAATTGGAATACAGAGTTTCCCATTCCCTTTCTTATCCTAAGATTGCCAAAGGTACTGACAAAATGTCCTTGAGGGATCTATCCTAGAAGCATTTATTTTAAAATAAAGTTGAGTTCCCAACCTGGGAAAATACAAATCAGGGTCATTTTACAGCTCGTCTGGAGGAGTCGCAGTCACCTGCCCACCCTCTGCCTCCATTCCCTCCCCTTGGCTGCAGAGGTGGTGGACAAGCCCCCTAGTTATGTTGGGTACTGATTTTCCCCAAGTTCGAATGGGAAGAAGTTTTTAAAAGTGCATAATCAGGTGAAAAACCCCAACATTTTAAAAAGCTCCTGAAAGGCATTTGTGGTCTCCACCTCATTTATCTGCATGAAGTTGTTATTGGTCAAATTCATGAGCAAGGGAAGGTTGCTCCACCAGGAGTCCTACCTGACAAGTGGGTTGGGTGTGGTCTGAAGTTTAAGGGAACAAGTACTCTGGATATCTCCCAGCCCCTACCCCCTCTTCCCCCTTCCAGGGCAAGTGCATAAATCCAGGCCCAAAGACCAGGAAGTGACTTGCAGGTGAGGTGAAGTGGGGTCAGAAGGCCCGGGCTCCAATTTCGGCTCTACCAAGAATATGCCGTATACCCTTGGGTCCCGTTTGCCCTCCTCTAGTGGATACCACTTGCCCCGCAGACCAACCCGGTGATGTTCCGATTGATTCCCAATCTGCTGTCTCCAGGAGAGAAGCTGTGTGCCCCTCCACAGTCGTGCAATGAGCAAGTGAGTCCGTGTGGGCTGTTACCAGGCACTGCCCTTAGCCCAGGACTGGGCCGTGCCTGGGGAGCGGGTGCAGTAGTATCTGTTCACCACATGCCTACACTGGTCACACTTGACCGTGCAGCACCAGTGGAATTTGCAGTTACAGCTGCTGGTGGCCTCGGTTCGCCTCTCTTCCACCTGCAGCCCACACTCGGAGCACAGGCGCCCGCAGCTGCGTCGCTCCCTCCGGGAGGTGTTGTGGCTGTGCTGCAGGCACTCACGGCCCTCAGTGCCCTGGACGCCCAGGCTGGAATTGCGGGTGCAGTAATCTGGCGACTCCTCTAGAAAGACCAGCTCGGCCTCTGCACTAGGAAGAAAGGCCTCTGTGGGCGCCCAGTGGCCCTCGGCGCTGTTCCCAGCTCTTAGCCGCCGCTTGTCCATCTCGATTTTCAGCGCCCGGTCGTACTTGGCCTTCAGGTAGTCGCCCATCTCCCGGAAGTCAGCCAGCTGCAACCAGCAGGTCTGGATGCTGCAGCTCCCCGAGATGCCGTGACACTTGCAGGTCCTTCTCATGGTGGCTTTCACTGCCTTCGGGGAGAGAACATGAAAGAGAGAATGGGTGCAGAGGGCAGGTGGCTGGTGACCGACTGGAGTATGTTAGAGCGGTGCTTTTTGACTTCGGAGGAGTGTAAGGATTATGGGGGAAGCCTCAGACCTCCCCAGTGAAAACGTTTAAGGGCCCCTCACTGGTGAATTGTAACATCTCCGGGTGATTCAGACAGAGCCAGGCAGGTGCTGAGAAGGCTGCCGGAGCCAGGAAACCCAGGCTCCAGGCCCAACTCCTTCCCCTGTTGAGCTGTTTTCTCTATCTGCCCAAGTGCAGTAAGAATTGAATATGATAATAATCAAGAACTTTGGAAATTTCTAAGGAAAATATCCTCCCTGGCACTGTTGCCTCGGGTCTGGGAGCTAGCATATTTGGGGGGAAGTGGGGGTCAGACTTATCCTCTGGGCCATCTCTCACAGGGATGGAAGTTGCTTGAGGCAGAAACCCCTACACCCCAAAGGCAATGAATTTCCCACGTTGCCCTTGCCTGGAGAAACCTCTTCCCCTTGCCCTGGGCAGCCAGGACTTCTAGCTTCAGGTTCACAGGGAATTTCTCAAGCCAGATTTGAGGTCAGAAGACTCCAGAAACTGCTTCCCCACCAGAGGTCTTGGGAGAACAAACCCAGCAGAGTAGCCGAGATCCCGCAGCCGGCACAGTGAGCCGCTGCTAATTTCCTAGCATGTGCAGCTCAAGTGACCCAACCTTCAAGTCAGGGAAGCAAGGCCTGGATTCCAGGCTCAGGAACTTGCTTCTGGAGGGGCCCCGAGCGGACGGTTTGTGGCTGATAGGACTAACGTAGAAGGCACGAGTTCATTGCCTGGCTCCAGTGCTTATTAGCTGCATTGCCCTGGACGAGCCACTTGGCTGTGACTTAACTGGCCCTGACGTCCAGAGAATGGGGTAATCATCCTGTCCTGCTGTCCTTCTGGGTGGCCTGAGGGCGAGACGCGGTCAGTTGTGAAGGGCTGTGCAGATGTGACGCCGTGGCCGGGACTGGCCGACTCCTATACCCACCAGCCTGCCGGCCCTGTTGTTGTGGAGATTCATCAGGGCTCTGGCATCCTTCCCCTTCTCCAAACTGTCCACAAAGAGTTTGGAGATCCTTTCCCCAAATTCCACATTGTCGCTGCAGCCTCCCCAGATCCAGCCATGGCCTCCTACACGTAAGGAAAGAATACGTTCTGCATATAGCTCCCTGCCAAGCCCCAGGAGACGAGTCTTTCAGCTGGGCAGGCAAACCATCCCCAAGAGCCCTCGGAGGGTGTAAAGTTATTGCCGAAGATGAGACGGGGAAATGGAGGAGCTTCGGGCAGGTGCGGGGAGTCCTAGCCCCGCAGCCAGCTTGAGGCCCTTGTCGGTGCCGGGCAGTCAGACTTCCCTGAGGCAGCCTGGGGCTGGTTCCCTGACCTCAGAGGTCCTCTGCAGTTTAAACCTTCTGGAATTCTGATGCCATCATCCTCTGGGGGTCCTGCCTGACTAGTGACACACCTAAGTCTCTTAGGTGGTCTGCCGGTAGTCCAAGTTTCTAACCAGCCATTTTGAGCCCGAAAACCAAGGCTGCCTCTCAACTCTCTTTGGCATCCTCATTCCCAGAAGCCTTGTGGGCTTTGGAGCCATTTGATAACAACCCCTGGCCTCGTGGACTTAGCTTAGCTGTTGGGAATACTGAGGTCCTGGTTCTCCCACAGCTGAGGGAGCTACTGGCGTCTAGGGCTTGAAGTGAGCAGCGTGGCTCGCCCAGAGCCTGCACTCAGCTCTCAACCCCTCGCCCTCCACCCGCCCCCACACACCGGAAAGCCCAGCTCACCTGTTTTCCCGTTTTTTGACTCATCGCAGCCACAGTTTTCAAAGTCGCCCATGCTGCAGTTCTTGGTGATAGTGTGCATGACTCCAGCTGAGCTGATGGCATGAATGAAGGAAGTCTCTCTGGTGGCTTTAAACAGAAAGAGGGACCGACTGGAGACCTGGGGCCTAATGACCCAAAGCAGAGGTTTTGGAAAAACCATACTGCTTCTCTCCCTCCTCTTCTACCGAGCGAACAATCCTCACTTCATCCAGGCAGCAGTGCACACGCACACACACCCCTCCCATGCTACAGATGTAGGAAGAAACACCCAGAGAGAGAATGATGAGGCCACATAGGGAGTGAACTCCACCAAAGATCTCTCTCTTGGTCTCTCCCACTTGGGTCAGTCTGCCTTTCAAATAAATAAATGAATAAATAAATCTTAAAAATCGATGAGCCTGGCCGGCGCCGTGGCTCAATAGGCTAATCCTCCACCTTGCGGCGCCGGCACACCGGGTTCTAGTCCCGGTTGGGGCGCCGGATTCCGTCCCGGTTGCCCCTCTTCCAGGCCAGCTCTCTGCTGTGGCCAGGGAGTGCAGTGGAGGATGGCCCAGGTGCTTGGGCCCTGCACCCCATGGGAGACCAGGAAAAAGCACCTGGATCCTGGCTCCTGCCATCGGATCAGCGCGGTGCGCCGGCTGCAGCGGCGGCCATTGGAGGGTGAACCAACGGCAAAGGAAGACCTTTCTCTCTCTGTCTCTCTCTCTCACTGTCCACTCTGCCTGTCAAAAAAAAAAAAAAAAAAATCGATGAGCCTGTGTAGGGATCAGAGCCCAGTCCTGATGTCCAGCCTCATCCTCTGTCACTCAGCCACTGGCACCAGGCCTTGGGCAGTGAGACTCAAGGCTGCCGGCTGGCTCAGGACAGGGGCAAGTACCCTTTTCCCTCTTTCTGACCACGAAGCTGTGGCCGTGTAACCATCATAATGGTTATGGCCGCCACTCACAGGGCTCTCGGCTTCCTAGACTACTGACAAATATTGCCACGTTTCGTTTCTTATGCTGTCTGTGTTGTACACATGGGAAGATTGTTCTTTCTGTCCCCACAGTTCTTCTCGGGAAATTCTCCATGGTTGTTACAACGTCGACCTGTATGCAAACCACTGCAGGCGTTCTATGCCGCATGGGTGTGCCCCCTGGCCCACCCCAACAGGCTCCTCAGCCTCTCAGGATTTTATGGCAGTTGGGCAGACCGGAAACTCCCTCAGCGGCTGCAAAACACAGCCTTTCCACGTCTATATTTCAGGTAAACCAGCCCACGACAAGTGCGTGCACACAGACACAGGCACGCATGTGAAAAGAGACATTTTCACGCGTGTCTGCAGAGCCCTCCTACCCACCCCCGTGCTGCTGCTGGGCTGGACAGCGCCGGCCTCCCTGGGGGGCAGTGACTCACTCACTAAGATCAGCAGCAGGCTGTGCATACACGCACAGACACACACTACAGGGCACCCCTGCTTGCACACTCCCCGCACCACTGTAGCCACACCCAGACGTACCGCTTCTCAGCCTGTTGTGGGTGGAGAGCTGGAGAGCATTTTCCGGGCAGTTCCAACGTTCCCAAGCAAACTGGAACTTACACTCCTCAATGCCGCTCTGGGCCCCCAAGGCCACGCTGGTAGTATAGGTCAGGTAGGCCTGGTGAAGGGAAAGGGGCCATGAGCCAGGGCGCACACAGGGGGTCTGGCCCAGGGGCAGGCAGGACTCCAGTGGGCTCACGCTCCGGGTGAGGGTTATGCTGGCACTGTCCCCCTCCCCTCTTTTCTTTTTCCGTGAGGGTCTCCTAACAGCAGCTGAGGCCATCCTACCTTAGGGCCAGTTATCAGGAAATTGTTCACTGACCTACCAAAAAGAGGAGGAGTGAGACAGAAGTGAGTGGGGGAGATCCAACAGGGGTTACCTTAGCAGGCGGTGGGGGGTAGGGCAAGGGACTTACCAGGCAGAGGCACGGAAGGTGGCACTGCACATGCCCACAGCCACCCAGAGCAGAACGAGGTCTCCCATGGCCCTGCCCACCGCAGGGGAGCAGGTGTGGCTCAGGGCCACAGCCAGAGAAGCAGGGAGCGGGCAGCAGCCCCCTCAGTATTTATGTGGGGGACTCTGAATAGCCAAGGTGGGGGCGAAAAACAACAGCTCTTCTTATTTGTCCTTCAGGGGCAGGGCTGCGGGAGTCACTGACCCAATGGGGGGCCAGGGAGGAGGGCCAGCCCCGCCCCCAAGGGAAGCCCCGCCCAGCCAGCCCTGCCCTCTCCCCGCCCAGAGAAGGGGCTGAAGCTTCCTCCCACCTTGTGCCTCCAAGGCAGTTTCTGCCCCTTTGCGGCTGAGGGCCCATTCCTCAGAACCCTGGAGGGGGTCACCTGTGCCCCGGCCCCGGCGTCCTCCTTGTCGGTGAGACCCTGCCCTTTGCCCTGCCTTCCTCCCCCGGTGTTAACAAGCTTGGGGGATCTGCATTTGGGGGTCTTCCTGCTCAGTTCCCCGAACAAGGGGGTACGCTGTGCACCTCCTCCCCGGGTGACTGAGCTGCGATGCAGTGGCGGGGCTTGCTCCCACCACCGCGTCCCAGAGCAAGCGCTGGTGAACGTCCTGCCATCCGCGAGTGCGGGTTGCCAAGTGCTTGTGTCTGAGACTCGGCCTCTGGGCCGGCCATGGCAGGGCTTTTCTTCCTGGCTACCATGTGACACTGGAGCTATAGTTCCTCCGGCAGGAGCCGGAAGTGCCTGAATGAATGAATGATACTGGGTCGTCTTCTGCGAGGGACTTTGTGGCATCATTAGGTCGGGTGGGGGTGGTGATGAAGGGGTTGAGGTCTTTCTTGACTGGTGAAGCTGTTTGCTAAGCCTGGGCGAAGAAGGCCAGAGAAATTGAGGAGCAAATTGCAGGCAACAAGCCACCGTCTGTCTCATTATCCTGTGCCCTTTCCAGCACCCTGGACCTGGTTTGGGTGGGAAAGCGGCCCCTAGGCTTCTTGAGGGCAGTGCACTCAAAGAATGGGCTAGGAGGGGTGTCAGTCTGCAAATGGGTGCTGTCCTGTGACAAGACGAGCCCAGAAAAGAAAGCGTTTAGACATTTTTATGGCAAGGCTGGCGGTGTGGCACAGCTGGTTAGGCTGGCCCCTGCATCACTGGAATCCCATGTGGGCACTGGTCCAAGTCCCAGCTGCTCCACTTCTGATCCAGCTCCCTGCTAACATGCCTGGAAAAGCCGCAGAATATGGCCAGCTACTCCCTGCCGATGCATCCTGGGAGCCAGCAGAAGATGGCCAAGTACTCGGGCTTCTGCCACCCATGTGGCAGGTCCCGCTCCTGATGTCAGCCTGGTCTGGCCTGGCTGTTGTGTGTATTTGGGGACTAAGCCAGCAGATAGAAGACCCGTCTCTGTCTCTCCCTCTGTCTGTCATTCTGCCTTTCAAATGAATGAATGAATGTTAAACAAAGAGAAAACGGCTCCCCCAGCCCTAGCAGGCTCTCTTCCTCTGCTTGCTGAGGTTTCTCTGCTTCTGAAAGGAGGTGTCTTGGGAGAAGGCCCAGTGAGTTTGCCCCAGTGGCCTTCCCTCTGTCTTCCACTTGTCCCAGTTAAGAAGCACATTGAGGGGCCAGCGCCGTGGCACCGTAGGTTAATCCTCTGCCTGCAGTGCCGGCATCCAATATTGGCGCCAGTTCTAGTCCCAGCTGCTCCTCTTCCAATCCAGCTCTCTGCTATGGCCTGGGAAAGCAGTAAAAGATGGCCTAAGTCCTTGGGCCCCTGTACCCACACGGGAGACCTGGAAGGAGCACCCAGCTCCTGGCTTCAGATCAGCACAACTCCGGCCTTTGCGGCCATTTGGAGAAGAGAACCCGGATAGAACACCTCTCTCTCTGTCTCTCTCTCTCACTGTGTGTAACTCTACCTCTCAAAAAAAAAAAAAAAAAAAAATCACGTTGAAAGTGCCGGCACTGGGCAGAGGGGTTAAGTAGCTGCTTGGGACACCACATCCCATCTCTGGGTGCCTGGTTCCTCCACTTCCCCTCCAGCTTCCCATATATTCATTATGGGAGACAGTAGGTGATGGCTTTTCTGCCACCCACCGGGGAACCTAGATAGAGTTCTGGGCTCGTGGCTTTGGCCCAGCCCAGTCATGGTCATTGTGCTCATTTGGGGAGATCTGTCTGTCTCTGCCTCTCCAATGAAGAAAACAACTGATGTGTAACCTCCACTTTTTCAAACAGCAGGGTTATTTCCTGCCCCTCTCTGTGGGGTCAGGACAGGACTGATGCTGTGCTGCGCGTTCAGCCTCCGGGTGCGTCAGCAGGGCGCTGGGTCGGAAGAGGAGCCTGCCGCTGGATATGTGATGCCGATGCCCCGTGTTGCTGGCAGGGCCTCAACGGTTTGTGCCACAGTGCCGGCTCCAGAAGTGAGATCTGTTTTTTTCAGCCTGTGCAAACTCTGTGCTTGCTGCTGCTTCACTCTCTGGAGATCACATTGTTTCTTGAGATGGAACTGACGATGTTAGGTGAAGGCCTCTGCTCCAGGTGTCAGGAGCCCTGGCCCTGGGCAATGCTGTGTTGCGTGACTCTGGGCAAGCTGCTTGGCGCCAGCTTCTTCACCTGGAAGATGAGAGTGTGGGAAATGTGAGCTGTGGGATGGCTCCTAGGCTCCCCCAGCCCTCCCACGTGCTGCAATCCTAGCGCTGACATTTATAGAATTTATGAATCCTGGAGGTGACTGTGGGCTGGGAATGAGGAGATGTTACCTTCCCCGGCAGTGAGTGTTGAGAGTTGTCCTCATTTGTCGGGCCTGCAGTGAATGGGCCATCATGGCTCCCTGGAAGACAACCGTCACCTTCTCCAGGGTCCTTTGGGGTCCGTGGAGAGAAGCCCTCGGCGCTGGACTGAGCTGGCCCTTCACTGCAGACAGAGGCCTGAGAATGGCTCTCCATGCTGGGTCGGCGTGCAGTTCCCTTAATCCCAGCTCTGTTGTCTTGGGAGGTTTTGTTTTTGTTTTTTGAGTTTGACCCAGGTGTTGGTTTCTCTCTTTCAGGAATGGAATCTGGAGATGAAGGCAAGGGCAGAAGCTGACAGGGGAGGCGGAGTAGGCCCGTGACGAGACAGACGCAGCAGCGGCGTCTCCGCATCCGCAGGCAGCGGCGTCTCCGCATCCGCAGGCAGCGGCGTCTCCGCATCCGCAGCCAGATGGGCAGGTTTGCTGATTCTCACAGTGTAACTATCCCCACTATGGCTCACTTGAAACCACCAGGGTGGATGTGAGAAGAGACGCACAGCAGCAAACCATCATTCGGTATTTCTGTCACTCAGGTCTAATCCATGTAAGGGACTACAAGAACACAGCTAATAGAAAATGCAGCGAAATCATTAGGAAATGCTGATTTTGAGTATCTTTGTTCTTAATATAATTTATTTACTTATAAGTTTTTTTTTTTTTTTTTTAAAGACAGCTGTGTTTAACAACCAGTTTGCAAAATTCCTGAAAACCTTAACCACCAGCCCTCAGGAGCCTGTACAAGCCGCCCCCAGCACAGCACAGAACTCAGGGTCCTCCATCTAAGGCTACGGGGAGACGGACTACAAAATGCTTGGTAGGGGGTCGGCGCTGTGGTGCAGTGGGTTAAAGCTGCCTGTAGCACCGGCATCCCATATGTCTGCTGGTTCGAGTCCCAGCTGTTTCTCTCCAATCCAGCTCCCTGCTGATGGCCTGGGAAAGCAGCTGAGGATGGCCCAAGTGCTTGGGCCCCTGTGCCTGCATGGGAGACCTGGAAGAAGCTCCTGGCTCCTGGCTTTGCCCTGGTCCAGCCCTGGGTGTTGGGCTGCTGCAGCTATTTGGGGAGTGAACCTGTGGATGCAGGATCTCTGTCTGTTTCTCTTTCTGTCTCCCCGTCTCTCTCTCTAACTCTGCCTTTCAAATGTCCAAATAAATCTTTTAAACAAAATGCTTGGCAGGCATTCTGACCCAGAGGGAGGCCCTTGTTCCATATCGGCCTGTGTGGTTTGAGTCCTCCCTAATCCATGCTTCTGACCCAGCTCCCTGCTAGCCCAGCTGGGGAAGTAGCAGAAGATGGCCCAAGTGCCTGGATTCCTGCCACCCATGTGGGCGCCCCGGGTGGAGTTCTTGGCTCCTGTCTTTAGCCTTGCCTAACCCTAGCTGTTATGGACATCGGGGGAGTGAACCAGAAGAGAGAAGACCTCTCTGTCTCTGTCTCTACCTCTCTCTGTCACTCTGCCTTTCAAATAAATGAATATACGTCAAGAAGAAAAAAAGCACAGAATGCTTCCACGTGCAATGTAACATTAACTAGTTATTTCAAGCTTGTTACATGCAAGGCTTTACCCCTTTCTGAGCCCTAGGTCTTGTTCCCTGTCTTCAAGGAGCTTAGTATCTAGTAAATAAGAGGTGAGCTGTGCACCCATTTACAGTGCAGGATGGGAAGTATTAAGTGGAACGCAGTGAATTAGTGCATTCGCCCGGGGAAGGGCTTCGCAGTGCAGAGGCTCTCCCGTCTGCTGTCCCGGGAGAATGCGATTCCAGGAGCCTAAGGAAGCACTGCACACTGTCGTGACGGAAGGAGCCAGAGCAGCGTCAGGAAACCTGGAGCCCCGTCTCCAAGGAGGCCAGGGAGAGCCAGAGGGAGGAGCCTTAGCCAGGGTCACAGGGGCCGAGCGAGCCTGGACCCCACCTGCCCGAGGCTGAGAAGTTTCCCCCAGCGCTTGACTTTCAGTGCCCACGGCAGGACCGTGTTGAGCAAACCCCAAAAGTTGGTCACCGCACAGCACAGGCACCCGTCCCAGGCCCGCGTGCACTCTGACCAAACTTCCCAAATCCTTGGGCACCACGCATTCCAGGTCCTCGTGGGCGGGAGAGAGGGGCGGGGGTGGAGGTGGCTGGAGAATGCCTGGAGAGAGAGAGGTAGGATTTCTGACTCTTCACGCCTGTCTGCTAATTAGATAAGGAGGTGGGGAAGAGGGAGAAGCGGCCCACGCATATTCCTGGGCTGTGCCGCTGAGCGAGCTCAGGACTTCCGAATCTCTGCTCTCCACCCCTCCTCCCTGGGAACTTGCCACCCCCTGGGGCACTTGACCCACCCACCCCCAGTCCAAATGCCACAGCTGCCTGAGCTCCTGACTCTCCCTTTGGCCCCCTCAACTTATCCTCAAGGCCTTGCCAAGTTCCCCGACCGTATGCCCAAGGGAGGGGGGAGTGGGGCACATTTCAATTTTCTCGTTCAGGTGCAGGGCTCCAGGTGTGCAGAGGACAAGAGCCCAGCCGCTGTGTGCACGGGGAGCAGCAGGCGGCAGGGAAGGGCCGGTTCAGCTTTGCGGGTGTTTCCTTCATGACGCAGGAGGCTGCCTAGGGATGGCCCTTGTCATTCTCAGCCCTGTTCCTTCGCATCGCCCCATCGCCGAGGATGGGGGCGTGCTGCTCCTACCCAGCGGCTACAGACGGAGGCGCTCAGATGGGAGAGGTCACCTCTTCACCCTTAGCCTTTCTACTCCACACACTCACACACACACACACACACACACACACACACAAGTTTGTATTTACTCTTTTTGAGAGACAGAGAGAGATGGAGACTTTCTAGTCGGTGGTTGATGTCTCAGATGCCTGCAAGGGGAGCTGGGTGCCTAGAACCCAATCCAGGTCTCCCGTGTGGGTGGCAGAGACCCAAACACTTGAGTCACCGCCTGCTGCCAGCCAAGCTGAAATCTGGAGCTAGAGGCGGGACTCAAACCCAGGCACCCCGATACGGTTTGTGGGTGTCCCAAGCTGCACCGTAACCACTGTGGCAAATGCCTGCCCCGTGTCTATTGTGTTTTTGTTCCCTCACTGATCTAAATTCCCATTTCTGGACAGTGGATTTTACACAGCAGTTCTCAATCAATGTTTCTTGACTATAAAGAAAGAAGGTATGGATCTGATTGGGGGATTTTACTGCTTTTAAGAAAATATGCATGCATACATCTGTTCATTTACTCCAAAAGCACTTACCTGCAGAGTACAGGCCGGTACGTAACCCTAGTGGACCCATGGAGAACGCCATAGGAGATACCATGGAGATACATGGGAGATATCTTGGAGGAGTTCTCAGTCTGGTTTGAGAGAGCAGCTTGAACAATTTAGAACCAGAAAGCTGGGACAGAAAGGAATGCCCATGCAGAGGACTTCTGATTGAGGCCTGCCATCTGGTGGCAGTGAGTGGTACAACAGGCTCAGTTTGTTGCGAGGATGTGAGATTCAGCACTGAAATTTCAGCCTTTTAGTAATTACTTAATGGACAGCCAGCCCAGCTGTTGGCACTAAGGTGGGCATTCAGTAAAGCTACTACAATTACCTTTGTCCTTGAAAAGGTTACAGTATGAGGGCTGGCGCTGCTGCCACCTGGGATGCCTGAATCCCAGACATTTTTCAAAAGAGGAAATCCAAATGGCCAACAGACACATGAAAAAATGTTCAAGATCACTAGCAATCAGGGAAATGAACATCAAAACCACAATGAGGTTTCACCTCACCCCAGTGAGAATGGCTCACATACAGAAATCTACCAACAACAGATGCTGGCGAGGATGTGGGGGGAAAAGGGACACTAACCCACTGTTGGTGGGAATGCAAATTGGTTAAGCCACTATGGAAGTCAGTCTGGAGATTCCTCAGAAACCTGAATATAACCCTACCATTCAACCCAGCCATCCCACTCCTTGGAATTTACCCAAAGGAAATTAAATTGGCAAACAAACAAGCTGTCTGCACATTAATGTTTATTGCAGCTCAATTCACAATAGCTAAGACCTGGAACCAACCCAAATGCCCATCAACAGTAGACTGGATAAAGAAATTATGGGACATGTACTCTATGGAATACTTTACAGCAGTCAAAAACAATGAAATCCGGTCATTTGCAACAAGATGGAGGAATCTTGAAAACATTATGCTGAGTGAATTAAGCCAGTCCCAAAGGGACAAATATCATATGTTCTCCCTGATCAGGGACAACTAACTGAGCACCAAAGGGGAAACCTGTTGAAGTGAAATGGACACTATGAGAAACAGTGACTTGATCAGCTCTTGTCCTGACTGTTGATGTACAATGTAATATTTTATCCATTTTAGTATTTTCTCTTTGTTTTGTCCTAGTACTATTGGTTGAACTCTGTGATTAACACACAATTATTCTTAGGTGTTTAAATTTTAACTGAAAAGTGATCCCTGTTAAATATAAGAGTGGGAATAAGAGAGGGAGGAGATGTACAATTTGGGACATGCTCAATCGGACTTGCCCCAAATGGTGGAGTTAGAATCATGCCAGGGGATCCCAACACAACCCCATCAAGGTGGCATATACCAATGCCATCTCACTAGTCCAAGTGATCAATTTCAGTTCACAATTGATCACACTGATAGGTCTAAGAGTCAAAGGGATCACACAAACAAGTCTAGTGTCTGCTAATACTAGCTGATAGAATCAAAAAGGAAGAGAACGATCCATCATGGGAAGTGGGATACACAGTAGACTCAGAATGGCAGATGTCCTAAACAGCACTCTGGCCTCAGAATCAGCCTTTAAGGCATTCAGATCTGGTTGAAGAGCCCATGAGAGTATTTTAGGCATGGAAAGCCAAGACACCCTGGGGGGGGGGGGGGGAGGAAGACCTAAATGAAAGAACTCTGTGAGTGAGATCCCAGTGGAAAGAATGGGGCCATCAAAGAAGGAGGTTCCTTTCTCTGAAGGGAGGAGAGAACTTCCACTTTGACTATGACCCTGTCGGAAACTCTTATATTAAACTTTCAAAAATTTCTGCTTTAAGGGCGAGTGTTTGGCTTAGCAGTTAAGAGACCACATCCTCTGGGGTCTGCACTGTGGCACAGTAGGCTAAGCTTCTGCCCGCAGCACTGGCATCGCACAGGGGCTGCTTCTCTTCTAATCCAGTTCTCTGTTGTGGGAAGGCATTGAAGGATGGCCTGAGTGCTTGGCCCCTGCACCCATGTGGGAGACCTGGAACAAGCTTCTGGCTCCTGCCTTTGGATCGGCACAGCTC